ACGAGGTTCATTCGAGATACGGAGGCGTACAATACCCGCCAGTAGGGTGACAGGAGGTAGAACCAATGATGACTGCAGGTTCATTATTCAGTGTAATACAGCCGAAGAACGTCGGTAAGAGTGCATATAGATGTATATAGTGACACAGAGAAATAGAATAGGATAGACATGCGTGTGAGTTTACTTTAACCTAGCAATTCCTTAAGTGTTACCCTCTTCCTTGACGACTCCAGGACCTCCCAACGCTCCGGCGAATACGAGTTAAGCCAGGACACTGACGTAAGCAACGATAAGTTTACTAGTTTTCTTGATATAACAAGATGGTGGCAGCATACTTAACCGGGTGACAGAGCGGGATACTTCCACGCCCCCTGTCACCACGGCATAATAGTGGTGTAGCGGCGGCATACAGTGGAGACAGCGGTGAGATAACCCATCCACCCCTGTCGTAAGGGCGTAACAGTGGTGGAAGCGGTGAGGATACCTCCACGGCCCCCCTCCACGACGTAACACAGAAGTTTCGTTGTGAACTCAATTATTTGAACAAAAGCAGAAAAACCGAATATTACACCGAGAAAAACACACTTGTATAATATTATAAAAATTCACTGCACAAAAACTAAAGAAACACGGGTTGTTCGCTCTGCCACTGAAATGAATAAGAAACGTGGACCCCCATGGGTCCGCGGACCACAGGTTGGGAAACACTGGTCTAGAAGATGAGGGAGCCACAACCATGTGGGCCTTCACGGCCTGTTACAGAGATAACTTTATCTTTTCTTTAACTGTATTACTAGGGGTCTCTGCCTCAGATACTCACAATCCAGCCATAACAGCCAGTATCAAAAAATAAAAAATACAAGTTTCACAACTTTTCTAAGTAAGAATTTTTGTAAAAAATGATGACAGAGAAACTATTGTTAACAGATCGCATCTACAGCCAGAATTATTACTACCTGCAACCTGTGTGCGTGCGTGCACGCACTCATCTTACATGGCATCATCATGACCATGACATATTGGGCTCTCTGGCCTGTGTACATCCAGAATTAATTCTGAAAGTATGAATCTTACAGACACAGAAAAAATGCAGACAGACATCCATGCATCGAATGTAATTCAAACCCATGATTTCAGTGTTTCAGTAGGTGAAGATGTTTCGTGCTGTAGGCCATGCAACCGCTGTTAATCAGAAACATACAAATGAAACTACGAAGATAATGACTGAAGCGATTAACCTCTATATTTACCATGTAATAGCAGCCACATTTTTATTTAACTTCTCATACTTGGGGTGTGAACATCGTGGTGCATTTGCAAGGATCCTGTTAGCTTGACGTCTGTCCACACATCTACACCTGTGAGCTGTCTCTTCATTTACTCACTCATAAAAATTCTGCCTGACTTTAACTAAGTAAGCACTATGCCATGATGATGCATGATTCATGCTTTCAATAAATATGTTTCCTTCCTTCAAGGTCAGTGATGTTTATCTCATCATTATTTATATGTATTAAGAGGCTTAAGCTGACTTAAATCTCCCTGGTTAACTGTGCCACATTCGTAAGCCTCTGGGTTAATTTAGTATGACATGCATGACAAAAATGAACAGAGCAGAGTGGGTGTCTCCACACACCCCAGCCTCCATCTATAGTTTTGTATATTCTAATTTGAGAAGTTTTCTGTATGAAGATTCTGGCATGCTAGCAATTTTTGGGAGTCTTTTTTTTTTGTAGTCGCTTTTGCCACCATCTGTCTTCCAATCTCCCCACTCCTCCACTTCTGCGTGTTGTTGATGTCTGTTGGATCCCGGCGGATTCAAACTGTTGAAGTCTGCATTGGTGGTCCAGTGCCTTGTCCTCTAGACCACGAAGCTCTTATGCTAGAAACAATTTTGGAACTTCGTGATGAATTATACTGCCTCTCAATTTGGCAGAAAATATTCTTATTATAAACAAGTCTCATCCTATCCATCATCTGTTGGTCTCGAACTGCTCATCATAGGCTTGCCAGTCCAGTTTGCTCTCCCCTAGACCAGATAGCCTGTTACAAGTAGAATTATTTTGGAACTGACTGATAAAATGAGACTTTGTGATTTTCTCTCTGTTGCTTTCTGTAGCCCTCCCCTTTCTTCTACCTCCACACATGCGAATGACATTCCTCACATCAGAAATGTCAGCACCATGGTAGTCTTAGGGTGAGGGCACACCAAGGACACAGGAAACCGCAGTTTCCGAGAATTGTGATCAGCTTGAGTTGAACACTTGTTAATTTGCGCTGCTCCATTCAGTAAAAAGTGTTCAACTCAAGTCGATAACAGTTCTCAAAAACTGCAGCAGCGTTGCATCTTTTCAGTTCAAATATTTTCCAGCTTCTTGTTTTCTTTACTTCTTCTGGCTTATTTTGGACTTCACCCATCATCTGGTATATTAAAAAAAAAA